GCAACAAAATCTTAATTTATTGAGGTTGTTTCTATAATTCTCCCTTTCTTGACTGTCACTTTTGCACATTTATCTAATCTGAAATCCAAACCTATGACGTCACTGAATCATTTTACAGTATTCATGAGACTCTTCAACTCATTGTTGTCTTTGACAAATAGTTTGAGGTCAACCATGTAGAGTAGGTGATTAAATATTCTTGTTGACTTTGTATCCATAGCTATTATTGTTCAGTTCATTAAGGACAGACAAAAGAGAAGAGGCGACAGGGGGTCTCCTTGGAAGATTCCTTGTCGGATATTCAGACGGTTGGAGATGACAGAGCGTCTTGTGTGATTTAGGTATAATCGGCTGATCCACATTTCCATGCTGTGTTTAAGGAAATTTGCAATCATGGGGGAGACATTGTACATTACCAAATTCTTAAAGGTCCTTCAGTTTGACACACTATCAAAGACATTTTCGGCAATCTATCCATGTTGCGATTATTATTATTATTATTATTATTATTATTATTATTATTATTATTAATCATAATTTTCCTGCAATTTACAGAAAACCGCAATTTCCAGAAAAGCAAATTAAAAAGCCGCAATTTATCCCAATGTTTATTTCAACTTCAAGGTTCAACGTAGAACTTTAGTTTATAACTGGAAGTAGAGAGGCATATTATCGAAATATTTTTAAACATTGTATTGTTATTAGTATTGGTGATATATATATATATATATATATATATATATATATATATATATATATATATATATATATATATATATATATTTGCCTCTAAGTGTCGACTTCTATGTTCACTTTTATATTTACACACCTTCTATCTCTGATATTGAGCACTTTATCCCATAAATATAAAACACCTTTAAGACTATATTTCTTCATATATATATATATATATATATATATATATATATATATATATATATATATATATTTATTAAAGACATTTTTTATGTTTAACGTTGTTATTTTATAGATACAAGTATTTAAGCCAATGCTCTGTTTATGATAAACAGTATTAAATAACATTTACCGGCCTGAATGTCTGAGAAATTTTCATAGAAAATATTCGTTCTTTGACAGGATATATATATATATATATATATATATATATATATATATATATATATATATATATATATATATGAAATCTAATATTTTATTCCGAATTGCAGTTAACGAAGCATCTTCCACTTCCCTCATTGGAAATTTTCCTATAAAAGGTCGAGAAAGAAAAGAAGCCAAGTGATTAGTAACAGTGAAAGGTAAAAGAGAAATAAGAGGAAAAAGATCAAGAAAAAGAAAAGAGAGGTTGAAAAAAGCGGGGGGTGATATAAATTAAGAAGAAAGAAATTCAACCAATGGAATTTCATCGAATCAAAGAATTCGAATTTTAACGGTTAACATAGCGAGGTTAGGTTAATGTTTCTCAGACAAAAACTTCCTGTGCTCGGAGACAAATATGTAAAAGAATCCTGCAGTATTTTATGAAACGGACTTTCTAATATAGATTTGAATACTAAACCGATTTAAAATTTTTACATTGTTATATTAACTATACTTAACCAAATTTTACTTTACAATATGAATTAGAATACTACATACATTTTAAACTTTCGCATTGTTTTTTCAGCATATATATATATATATATATATATATATATATATATATATATAATTACATGAATCATTCATACAAAAAACAATAAATTAAACTCTACTTATAATCGAAATATATATATATATATATATATATATATATATATATATATATATATTAACATTAAAGCATTACATAATTATTAGAACCAAAGTTCGTTGTCAAGTATTTCGAATTCTCATTTACTTGTATTTTGATTGGTCATTCCAGCTTATATAACAGCATTTCCCCTAGCGAGGGGTGTTTGATTGATTTAAACTTTTTAAAACCCTTTATTCTACATTCAACACCATCACTTGATAAAACACCAGAAGTGTTGAAACAAAATGGCTATTTTTGTAGTGAATTTATAACATATTTATGTTATAATTTCCGAATAAATAATTATATATATATATATATATATATATATATATATATATATATATATATATATAAATCCAAATAAAAAAAAATATAAAAAAATATAATACGCACAAAAGCAATGATGTACGCACAAATAGCAATGATGTGTGCACATATAGAAATATAGTATATATTTCCATATGTACAAAAATTGCATACAAATATTTATGCATAACAACTACATATCAATATGTTCATTGTCATATTTATATAAATATAAATACGTCCACACATAAACCTACAGTGATATATATTAATTTACAAATACACAGAGAAAAATATATACATATATGTTATATCAATATGTTATATATACATATGTTACGCACACACACACACACACACACACACACACACACACACACACATATATATATATATATATAGAGAGAGAGAGAGAGAGAGGGAGAGGGAGGCACGGTGGGGTAGTGGGTAGCGGAGAGTGAGGGCTCGCAGTACTGATTTCGAATTCCAGTCGAATCCATTAAATTCACGTGCCTTTGGGAAAGGTATGAATCCATTTCTTCTCTTTCCAGCTATAGGGTTCTATAGCATTGGATGGCAACTGGTCTTGGGAAAGAATAGCACTGAATTCAAAATCTGTGGAAGGTTGTTTAGAGGCCACATGGTGCACCAGGTTTCTGTTTTCAGCCCTCCCAAAACTGTGTGGTTGGTTCTGCACAAAGCCTTCACTACTAGAATCAAATCATGTGGGCTGTCGGTTGCTAGGAAATGAGTTGCTGGCCGTCATACGTCGAATACAACGGGAGAGTCCACTTATATATATATATATATAGATAGATAGATAGATAGATACACAGATAGATAATGAATGTTATCAATTTTGTGATCTGCACTTAGTGTAGTGGTTATCATTGTGGAAAAATAAGATTGGTGAGAAGAGTTCAGATTCTGGCCAAGTTTCTTAAGTTTAATTTTGTACAAATACCCAAAAATATTATATATATATATATATATATATATATATATATATATATATATATATATATATATATATATTAAATAAAGACAGACGACTTTAAGGTTCCATGTAATTAATTTTTTCCTTACAGCCCTTTTCAAATGACTGCGGATCATCAGACTGTGGATTTCAAACTAAAATATACATCTTTAGAGAAAATTATGGATAACAAGTTTCGTGAGTGTCAGGTTTTATTATGCAAACTGCCGCATATTTTGTATTTCTAAAGACATGAAAAAGGTTATGACCAGATTGCCTATCCTACCCCAAAAAGGAAAGTGTATTTACATGTATGTATTTGCCATTACGTGACTCATAGTGTGTGTATATATGTACATATGATATTATTATGTTTCCTGTGTATAAAGTACAGTTAAGATATATTTCTTGCGAGATGTAAATATTCATATATATATATATATATATATATATATATATATATATATATATATAGTTTATGAAAAACTAGGTAATCCGTATGGGTAATCCTAAGGAGGATAAAATCCAGAGTTCTCAATGTTAATTCAGAGCAAATAATTTAAATAAAAACAGACCACTTTAAGGTTCCATGTAATACATTATTTCACCACAGTCCTTTTAAAAGGACTGCGGATCATCAGACTTTACTTCCAAACAAAAAATGAAAAAAAAATTTACACATTTTTGACGGGCCGTATTAAACATATGTAAATTAACGAAGTGAGGAAGTGACGGGGGAGAGAGAAGACATGAGTGAGTTACCAGATATTGGCACATTTAAACTGTTAACTTAACGGAAGTTATATATTGATATCGAAGGGGTAGAAAAGAAAAACACATGGAGATAAAAAGAGGGAAGAAAGTTAAGACAGAAGAAGATGTCACTAATTTCTTTATAATTAAGTGACACTAATTTTTGTATAATCTTTATGAACCCCCAAAATAACACTTTCAAAGTAAAACAAAATAACAGCGTCTGTTTCTAGCCTTTTTTTACAAAGACAATTAATGACACTTTCTCTCATAACTTCCTTGTCCTTTTTTCTTTATGTTATGTCTATACATACGCATTTGTATGTTGAAATGTTGAAATTTAAACATTGGAAGTGTGGCGGAATGTCTCGTTACTGTATACATGACATATTATGTATTTTTCCGCTGATAAATATTTCCGCGCATGTATGTATATACGTGTGGTGGGGTTTGTGTAAAATTATGATAGGTAAAAAATTTTATTATTTATATTTATTTTTAAATTTTTGAAAAAAAAATGGGGCTTTATTTGTTATATTTAAAGCTGGTTATTTGTTTGTTTTTGGTGACTGTGTATATATAACAGGTAGAAATTTGTAATCCTTAATGGTTATTTTATATGGTAATGTTTAATATTTAATATGCTGGGTGAGAGGGTAGTTTAATTTAATAACGGGTCTACATGATATGATGTGATAGTAATGTTGCAAGGGATTGGAGACAATGATAGTTAGCTAATAGTTATTGTAAATTGGTAGAAATTGCAAATTGGTAGAAATGATTAGTAACGGTAGTGGGAGAATGATAAAACCATGAATGTAGTTATAGTGGTGGTGGCTTGAACTAAAAAGTGGTTGTTGGTGTTTTATTTTATTTTATTTCATTTTGTTATATGTATTAATTTATTTTGGTATAAATCCTGATAATAGGTATTCTGTGTAAAATTATGGTAGTTGAAGATTGCTATAATGTTTCATTTTTAATTACAAAATTATTATTATTATTATATTAAAGCTGCCTGGTAATAGGTCTTTTTTCTCATGGTTTTCTCAAATCTTCTTAATTTCTATCACCCACACACACACACACACACACACACATATATATATATATATATATATATATATATAGAAAAAGTTTCAAATTAAAAATTATAATGTTTTATTTTATGAAAGTATTTATTTATTTATATATATATTTGATATTTCAAATTGTCCTCAATTTTTCATCAGAAATAACTGTTTGTTACAAATAAATTAAAATTACTCACATATATATATATATATATATATAAAAGTGAACATTGAAGGCAACACTCAGTGCCCTGACGACGATTGCGTCTAGCATGAAACAGCCTGTCTGTTGACTTCAATGTTCACGTTTATATTTACATACGTTCTATATCTGACATTAAGCACTTTATGCCATAAATATGTCACACCTTAAAACTTTATTTATATATATATATATATATATATATATATATATATATATATATATATATAAAGATATATATTATTTAGATGAAGTGCTTATCAGATTTCAATAAATTTGATCTTATAAATCATTCTCACCTTAAATATTAGTAAAACATGGTTTAGCCTGATTTCCACTATGATCTTTTGAACGAGGAAACGCAGAAGTCAGGAATTTGATCGTTTCTCGCACTGGGTTTTCACTATTAAATTTCAGAAGTTTTTTTTTTTTTTTTTTATAACACTTCGCATTACCAATATATAAAAAAAACCTCTTTTATACAGAGTACTTGTACTTAGTTTTTTCTCTTGTATGCCAAGCGATTCTTTGTTTAGCATCATTGATCAAGAAGTGGCGTAATATTTTCTTTTTAATGCGACCTCCATCGGACTGTAAAATGGCGGATGCGTGTCGAGCATTAAAGTGAGGTGACTGAGTAAAAGTACCGCATCACGCATGCGCGGATCAGTTTTTTTTCCGGGTGTTGGTCGGCACGACTAACACGATCGAGGAGAGTTTGCAATATCACATTCTTTTCAGCCGATTTAGTGCAGCTCCCGTGGAGACCTCTCATTGGGAATGACCTTTCAATATGGAAACGAGCAAAGAGAACATCCGTAACTTCTCCACGCGGCATTTGAAGCAAATTGCTTGGAAAAGTCATAACAGTAAAGGAATTATGTGTATACTGACTTTTCGAGTCTTTCAGCGGAAGACGATAGCAGGTATAGCTCTAGTGTCAGAGATGTATACACGTTATTCGGAGGTCTCCTCAGTCTATAAATCATCAATTCATTCAATATTTCCTTTTTCTTATTAGGGAACAACAAGTTAAAAACAAATGCTTATTTGGTATTAGCCAGTTTAATCGTGGTTTTGCTTTAGAAGAGGTTTAACGTCAATTTAATACTTGACCGTCAAAGGGATCCAGGTAGGCAGCTGGTGTGAGGTCTACGCACAACCGGGGTTAGATATTCACGGTTCATATATTGCCAGTGTTGACCTAAGAGGTGAACACATGTCGGTTTGGCAGACCCTGATATGTTGGCGGGCGAAATAATAACAACAGTGATATATAAAACAACTTGAGATGATATAGGCAGTTTCTCACACATCGCAGATAGTATGTAAGTATTACGTATGGGAACATGCCCCCACCCTGTACTCTCTCTCAATTATAAGCAAGAGCAAGATCTAAAAGGTCAGCCAATCTAACAGTGATCTCATCCCACAATCCTTACTCTTGCTCCATATGTGGCCTCCTTTGTAAATCCCTAGCCACTTAAGATTATCGCACAAAATTTCATAACTAAAACAGTTAAGCTGTCCGATCCTCATACGTCGAAACCGACGGGAGAGTCCATTATTATTATTATAGTATATATATATATATATATATATATATATATATATATATATATATATAAGTTAGCATAGAGGTCAACAATTAGAGGCGACAGACTGTCTCATGCTAGAAGCAATCGTCAGGCCACGAGTGCTGTTATTTTTCTCAGCTATTTATGTATACGGGTCAGTGGTGCATTGACCCGTATATAGAAAATATATTAATAGCAGAGAAAAATAACAGCACTCGTAGCCTGACGATTGCATCTAGCATGAAACAGACACTTTTATATTTACACACGCTCTGATCTTTGACATTGAGCACTTTATCCCATAAATGTAGCACATCTTAAGACTATATTTCTTCATACACACACACATCCACACACACACACATACACACACACACATATATATATATATATGAATATAAGATATTTCACATTGAATGCTGGTGTTAATAAATATAATAATAACAGAGCTATTAAGTATATATTAATAAATATCCACATTATCCTTTACCGGTAGCAGGTCTCGGAGTTTCATACGCAACGCAATCTTCAGGTGCTGAGTAGGGAATAACCGTTACTTAATTTAAATTTTAATAAAAATATCTGGTTAAGGCAATGCTGACGTAGTCCATATATCATACGGGGATTACGAGGCTTTATTTAGAATCAAATACCGTATGTTTTAAATATAAAAACATTAATCTACCTCTCTCTCTCTCTTTTTATATATATATATATATATATATATATATATATATATATATATATGTGTGTGTGTGTGTGTGTGTGTGTGTGTGTGTGTGTGAGGCTATTTAGGGTTTCGAGAAAGAAAGAAAAAAAGGGAAAAGGCGAGAATTAAATTTAGGTGATAAGAAGCCATCACTAAAAGGACACTAAGCGATGTTATTTTTTGTTTTAACAAAGAAAAGTGGAAAGGTTTTATTATCGAGGAAGGTAGGGTCGCGGATGTGTCGGATTTGATTTAATTTATGACAACGCACCGAATAAGATATATCCAAGTTGGACAAGGGACCTCCCGCAGAGTGCTGGGAGATAAAAATTAATTAGGTCAAGCTCTGACCGAAACCAAAATGTCCGTTGAACCTCCCCGATATCATTTGGGAAAATCACCTGTTTATTGTCAGGAGCTGGCTATGATAGCAAAATTATTTTATCAGAACGAATAATTGGCACCAAGGTGCGATACGTCCAATTGACCACCCACTTGTTTGGCGAAGGTCCCGAGTGATGAATCCCAGGTGACATTCAGGATAAAATTGAGATTAAGAGACCACACTACGGGTCGTATTGGGTTGTTGTCGAGAAGAAGAAAAAGAAAGAAAAGAAAAAGAAAAAGGAAGATAATTTTTTTTTTCTCTTTGAGCAAGAATTTTTAAACCGAGGCTAGTCCGGTCACACCCACGCTGCTGAGCGCCCATTGTCTGAAGGAGGGCGGGAGCGTTAGGCGGAGGTAATCATGTGAAGAAGGAGGGGGGGCCTGTTGACGCCCCCCCTGAAGGGATCGGCGTGAGATGCCACTGTGAGAGAGAGGGGAAACCTGTTGACGCCCCCTGAAGAGATTGGGTGAGATACCCATCTGAAAAAGGAAGAATCTGGAAGGAATTCCAAAAATGGAAAAAAAAAAATTTCCTGACCGAAAACAAAGACGTGGATTGTGGATTTAGAATTATCAAGGAACCTCAAACTTCGACAAGCCCACCCCGGTTTTGGTCGGCGTCCATATAAGCAGAGTCGCAACGAGTAAGTTCGGATATGAGTGGAGTTGGGTGGAGTTGACTGAGAATCCACGCAATTCCAAACTCAACTTCTAACCAAGAACAATTTATTTTTGAAGAACCACTTAGACTCACACCACCAAAACAAGTTTTACGAATATCGCCTGAAGATACACTAAGAACCAGTTTCTTAAAGAACAAACAACTTAAGATGTTAAGACTCACCTAACAAACATAAATTGCTACGAATCCATATAGCGGTTTGGGAGAAAAGAGGCAGTCCTGTATTCAGTAACCAGATATAAAATATTGTTATCCTTTTTTAACTCATTTGAACTTTTCGAGTTATTACTTTATTTTCTTTTACATATACTTGTGCGATATTACCGTTGTTCGGACTCGACTTGCATTACGGCCCGGCGACTGATTGATTTCGTCTACCTAAGATCAAATCACAACGTGGGTAGGTTATACTAGAAATCAAAACAGTTACATCCGAATCAGCAAAAGGTTAGAACGTCACATTTGGTGCAGCGACCAATAGCAAGTCACATTGGTCGTCACAGGACAGGATAGGACGGCGACGGCGCGGAGACAGACGGGGTGACGTCACAATTGGCGCAGCGACTAGGACAGCACGGCGGGAGCGGCCAAGCAGACCTCACGATTGGCGCAGCGACACCGGGGGACGACACACACACACACACACACACACACACACACACACACACATATATATATATATATATATATTTTGTGTGTGTGTATGTATTTATATACACCGTATTTTCTTGGGAAAATTCGATAAATTTTAGCGTAAATTAAAGGCTATGTTTGGAAAGTATTATACACGATTACACGTTTTAATCACTTTTTACTTAGCTCAAAAATACTTTATTTTCAAATAGCAAAATTGAAAATACACTCAACGTAATAGATATTAAATCCCTAAGTAGACCGGTGTTGTTAACAATTGTTTGCAAAAAAGTATTTTATATGTTGGCAATATTTATTCTTTGGGAATCAACGTAATTCAACTTATTTGGCCTCAACGACAGCAAAATTCACCGAAATTTATTAAAAATTAATCAAGGGAACAACAAGATCTGCCATTACTGTTAGAAAACAGTCTAACTATTGTATGAATGATGCATTTCTTTGTGTTTTTCCTTCTGTTTGATAAATGGGATATTTATTTACATCCGCGTTGAGGCAAGATGTGGCACAAGGTCGTTTTAATGTGGGGCGCCCATACACATGGATATGCATATTGACCAAGGACAAATATTGTCCAATTCCCGAGATCACAATGGGTAAATTGTCATTATTTTATATTTTTTTCAATTTCGCGCATGCGTGTTGTTTGCTTTCTGTTGGGGCGCACCCACCTTCTGAGGAGAATGGACTGATCTCTCTACGATATAGGTCAGTGCTAGAGAGATGAGGGACGTTCTGTGGAGATCGGGAGATCACAAGAACTGGAGATCACGAGATCAGGAGATCAGGTGATCATTGCACTTCCGTCTCTCTACCGGAAGTTACTGTTTGGCTTTAGACTCTTGCTAATTGTTATTACTAACCTGCGTTCGTTATTACTAGTCACTCTGTTGTTAAATACCTCTTCAAATATACCAGTATTTTTCCCTACATCTGTGTTTGTCTTTATTTGAATACACACACGCGGGAACACTCCCAACATCTCAACACTTTCCATTTTGTCAACTGCACAGTATAGTAAAGTAAGTTGGGTACCGTCTGTGAAAAAAGTGCAGAGGATTCAGAAAGAGTTGGATATTATATTCACTCAAAATCATTATGTTTGGAGTGATCACTTGTGAGGGCGACGTTATGCCTCCGTTCATCTCTCTACAGAGCCTTAGACTCTACACGGAGGCCTACATCAAAGCTGAAAGAGGTAGTGCTACCCTGGGTCAAGAGGGTGGCAGCTGGAAGATACTATATCTGACAAAAGGACTCTGCACCATGCCACACAAAGAGGGGATCTCAGTCATAGCTCACTATTTACATTATTCGGACTATTGTCCTCAGCATTTTCGCCATGTTTATCACAACGTTTCGGCTTTTGTACGCCCCGGAATTTAGTTGGAATGACGAACTGACCCCTTTATTTCGCTCACTGGCCATATCTAATGGATGTCACTTATCTCCTGGTAATTCTCCACCGCCTTAGCCAGGTATTGAAATCAGACCCTTTGGGTCCTGTCACTGGATCTAACTAACGCTTTTATCCATTATAAACTTAATGTCTTCAGCAATCATTTTTTACCAATGCTCATATTGCAGTTTTTGCTCTTATCATTACCTGTTTTTACCAGAGCTCATAATGCAATTTTAGTTGATATTATCACTTTTCTCTGGCACTCCTTATTACTGGTTCACATATTGTATTCATTTCTATGCTTGGTCGGCTCAGGGGATTTATGTGGCCTAGCATATTTATTGATTCCTTAAGTTTGCGAATTTTCCAAAAATGTTCTTTGTATATGATCTCAACCTGATCCCACAGAGGGCGGTGATCTCCTTTC